TTAATTGATAGTTTGAGTTACGAGGTTTCTCTTTACCGGTTTTGCTGTTAATTATACTCCACGTCATTTTAATTTTATTCTTAGCCATTTTAGAATAATTTTTTACATATTCTTTAAAAGCATCGGAAAGATTATACGATCTTTCATGGTAAAGGTCATATAACCTTCGTCTGCTTTTATGAATTCCTACTGTCGCCCACTCATTAAATGCCTTGCGACTGTTTCTGGAGAATGTTTTAGAAGTGAATGTTTTATTAAATTCATTGTATATAAAGGTAAATAATTCTCTATATAAATAGTCTGCATTGTTCTTATAAGAAAGGGATGGAAGGATTTTTAACATATTACTTCTAAATCTCTCCAGGCGTTTTGCATTAACAGGAACAAACACAATTTTCTCAATTACCTATTTATTGTGCATATAAGGTAACGAAAGCAGTTGTCCACAGTGATCTGAACTAAGTTGTTGAATTATTGATTTGTTGATTGATGCAACACCTGTTAAATTATTATCAATACAAGTTGCACTACACCCTGCAATACGTGTAGCTTCAAAGAATAAATTATTAAGATTATAGGATTTGAACAAAGAACAAAATTTAATACTGATGGAAGAAGTTTCCAGGTGATTGATATTAAAGTCTACATACACACTACAAGAGATTTATTCTGTTTATTAAGCTTAACTAAAACTTCTTCCATAATTTTTTCAAAAGTATCATAACTTGAAAATGGGGTCTGTAAACACTGACAACAATAAGGTGCTCAAGCTCAACACATGCCATTTCTACAGTACGCTCAACAGAGAGGCTAACAATATCTTTACGTTCTTTACACGATAAAGACTTATTAGCTAATATTAAGGAGCCACCACGTAATTTAGTATCTCTATTGAACGAACTGACCACCTGGTGATTACTGAAATTAAATATGGAGTTGTATTCTTTCAACCAATGTTCTGTAATACATAAAATATGTATACTGTTACTATTTAAAAATAATTCAATTTCTAATTCTTTGCCTAACATACCTTGTATATTTTGATGCACCATGTTGATACAGTTTTTATTATTGTTATTTTGTAAAATTGCAGAATTATGTATTGGTAAGTTGCATTCTAAGCTATTTAAATTATCTTTGCTAGAGATTACCTCTATTGTCTTATTATCTAATTTAAATTACTTGGAACTGGTTTCAAATCAAATGTAAAATTATTTTGTTGCTCAAAAGAAGCAGGTGTCAAGGTAGCCAAATCATTGGCTGAGTTAAAATATAAATAATAAGATAGCGTGTTTGCTACCAGTCTTAAACTATACTTTGATAGGTAATACCTATCTCTTGTCAAAAACTTCTTAGCTAAATTATTAATATCAATTAAATGAAATTTATCATTATTATTCTTATATTAAATGTCAAATTTAAGTTATTGTTACATGTCAGGTTATGCATCATTAAATTTAAATTATGTCTTAGTTTATTATCTGTCTATATTATATATATATATATATATATATATATATATATATATATATATATATATATATTGTCTTATATATCCTGTGGCCACCCCTCTATGTAAGGCAATGTAAACAAGATAACTTTAACCACATTTATGTTATTGAGATATTTAATATATTTTAATAATTGATTCTTGTTCATATTGCCTCTTCTCCCAACAAAAATTATTAATATACTATTAGGGTTAAATTTACTACTTAAAATTTTATTCATAATATCACTGAATGATGCTCCGGGCATGCAGTAATTACTTATCTGTTGCCTTTTTAAACAGTTGAATATTCGTAAGTGGTGCCGCCCTGGTGGCAGAAAAAGTCATGGATAACCTCATTTCCTTCAAATATATTATATTCCTAAAATTAGAAGAAAGAAAAAGAATAAAAACTATGGTAAAAATAAAAGAATACAACACTGAGGCATTATTTTGTCTATGTACATACCTACACTAGAAACCGAAAAACTTTTAATTAAAATCGCTACTTTTCAATGATGATGTCATTGTATAACCATCTGCGTAACAAATGAGTTGATCTTAGTCCCAACTAGCGACATCTGGTCAGCGTAAAATTATGAGCGTAAAATATTATTTTATTGTAATTTAGCAAAAAGTCTAAATGAAAATGAAAAATGATTTTTTACGGTTCGCCTTTAACTCGTACTATTGCTGTTGAAACTCAACCCGCCCGAGTCGTCACCCGGCCGCGTTTTGTGTTATTCGTGTCGCAAGAAGGGCAACCACAACACAACAAAAATGCATCATACTAATAGTAATCTATATCTATATACCTAGTCAGATCATAAATTCTGTCACATGTTTAATATAAAATAATTGAAACAAGTTTATTCATTATGTAACCATTTATATACCAAAATGAACTTAACAAAACATAGATTCTTATGACACTAAAGTTTATTCAAAATGACCTCCGTGATTTTGAATACAGGCCTTCAATCTGCGCGGCCAGTCGTCTATCGCAGCACGAACGAGATCCATGTCAATATCGGCGGCTGCCTTAATCAAGGATGTCTTGAGTGACTCCAAATTGGAATGAGGCTTTGAGCACGCCCTTTCCTCCAAGTGTTACCATATCTTGTAATCTAACGGATTCAAATCTGGAGTGGAGAAGGGGCCAGTCTTCGTGCCGGATGAAGTCGATTTCACGCGCCGCCAACCAGTCTTGTGTGCTCTTCGCTCTATGAGCTGGCGCCGAATCTTGTTGGAATACCCAGTGCCTGTTATTGAACATGGTATGAGAAACAGGTTCCACAAGGTTCGTCAGGACTGTATTTTGATACACAACTGCATTAGTTTTTACACCTTTCTCACAAAAATGTACCTCTGTTAAGCCCCAATAAGAAACTCCCAACCATACCATGAGCGAGGATGGAAAATGACCTCGTTGGACACGCGGAATACGGTTGCTCGCTTCTTCACTACTGTGTGCGTACACCTTATCATTTTGTTTGTTGTAGCTCTCTTTTACGGTAAAAATTTTTTCATCCGAAAAAAGAATTTCCCGATTTTTTTTCCCGCGTACCGCTTCAACAAAGCGCGGCATCTGTTCAGTCTCAGGTCCATTAGACGAGCATTCAAACGACGTCCTGTTTTTCTTCGATATGCCCGAAGCCCTAAGTTTTCATTTAACACCCTTTTCACCGTGGTTCTGCTTAACCCCATCTGAAGGGCCAACAGTTTCTGCTTACGTTTGGGATTTCTTTGAATTCGCGCCTTCACAGCTTTTATCACTGCTGGAGTCCTAACAGACCGAGGGCGACCACTTCTTGACCTGTCATCTACACTAGAGTCTTCATTGTATCGTTTGATGGTACTGTTGCGCGCCACTATTAATGTCTTGTACATGGCAACACTAGTTACACTAGCGCCCTCTAGTGTCGAGTAGCAGAACTAGGAGAGTCGAGATCCTTCCAGAAATTTCGGGACCGATATGTACTCGAACATTCTAGATGTCGCTACAGTAGAAGATTCTGGAAACTATCTGAGGCCCTATATAAGGCCGGTATAGACCACGACTGAGCAGCATTGAATTGGCGATACAAGAGAATACTTGGAAGCGAAATAACGACGAACTGTGTTTTATTATTAGTGTGATTTTAGATTGTAATTAGTGTTGTATAATTAAAGTGTCAATATTGGTAATTCAATCGGCAGTTTTTAATTGTCTCGAACCCCAAGCTCGTAACAATTGGTGTCAGAAGTGGGATCAAATATGCCGATTTTACCTAAAGACGACACGGAGGGTATCCGTACCCGAAGTCAACGCCAACAGGAGACGGACCAGAGACGATTTGGTAATGCAACGCCGCAAACGTCGGAGGGCCAGCTGCTAACCACGGAAGCCGGCCCGTCAGCAGCTCCTGCATCTGCAGCACCTGACTTAGGTGCTCTGATGATGATGCTGCAGGATCAGGCTCGCCGACAGGAGGAACAGGCCCGCCGACAGGAGGAACAGGCCCGCCGACAGGAGGAACAGGCCCGCCGACAGGAGGAACAGACTCGTCGGTTGGAAGAGCAGCTGCAGCGCGGTATGGAAGAGCAGATGCTCCTCAGGAAAGATCTTCACACTACCTTCGGGAAAGAGATTAAGGAGGTGAAGCATAGGGTTGCTCAATATGACAATCGCCTGTCGGAAGCTGAAACCCGAATCGACCAAGTGAACCATCGGGTTGACAACGTGATGGTAGACATGAAGAAAACGCTGGATGACCTCAAAATTGGGGATGGAGTTACAGCTCCCGTGGTAGCTACTACACCGTCGCTACGTGGATTCAAAGTAAAGCCGTTCGACGGGACTTCTTCCTGGTCGGCCTACAAAATCCAGTTCGAGGCTGTCATGAAAGCGAACGGCTGGAATAAAAGTCAGGCCATGACTGCTCTCATCCTAGGCCTACGCGACCAGCCCTTAACTGTTCTGGAAGCTCTCGGTACGGAAGTGACTGAAGAGCAGCTCCTTGAGGCATTAGAGGCGAGATACGGCGATGCTCACCTGGAACACGTCTTTCGTGCGCAGCTCAAAGATCGCGTGCAACGCAGTAACGAAACCCTGCAGCAATGGGCCCTTGAGGTGGAGAAGCTGGTTCGAAAAGCGTACCAGTCTGTACCTGCGCTCATTGTAGGGAACCTGGTGCAGACATTCATCGACGGCATCTGCGACCTTGAAGTCAGAGCTGCTGTGAGGTTCGTGCACCACGAGACGCTTAAGGACGCCTTGACCCATGCACTGGAGGTGGAAGCTGTGAGACAGGATCATCGTTCCTACCGCGTCAGGGAGGTTGCAGCAGTTACAGTTCGGGACCGCAATAACGGCTACCGCCCTAGGTGCTACGGCTGTGGGCAAAGGGGCCATCTTCGATCCAGCTGCCCTAAGCGAACGGTAGAAAGGGAAGGTGATCGATTTCGAAAAGGTAGTGCAGCTAACAGCACCGCCCAGCGCAGTGGGAAATCTCATGGCAACGCAGATGTATTGTCAAGAAGACTTTGCCCTAAAGATTGCAAGCATTGTACTAAGCAAGAGGGTAAAGAAGTGGTATCTGCGAGGATATTCAAAACAGACCAGCTCAGCAATGAATGGAAGGACAGCCTACAACATGCACAGCAGGAAGATTCGGACATTAAACCGATTCTAGAATGGATGAAGGCCAGTGCTCCTAAACCCAAGTGGAGCGACGTCTCAGCAATGAGTTCGACCACGAAAAGCTATTGGGCCCAATGGGACAGCTTGCTGATTCAAGATGGAGTCCTGTGCCGTAAATGGGAAGATGGTCGGGGAGACAGGTGTCATTTGCAAATGGTTGTCCCTAAGGCTAAAGTGCCGGATGTTCTACAGCTGTATCATAGTGGTTGTTCAGGAGGCCACCTGGGAGTTAAACGAACTCTCCTGAAGATCCGAGAATGGTTTTACTGGGTCCACTGTCGTAACGATGTCGAGGACTGGTGCCGCAAATGTACAAGTTGTGCGGTTGTAAAGGGACCTCAAACTCGTAGTAGAAGGGCATTGGAATTGTACAATGTTGGTGCACTATGGAAGAGAATAGCCATTGACGTTGCGGGGCCGTTTCCAGAAACTAAAAATTGGTAACAAGTATTTCATGGTTGTGATGGATTACTTCACTAAGTGGCCAGAAGTCTTCGCCATTCCAAATCAAGAAGCTTCAACAGTTGCAGATAAACTAGTTCATGAAGCCTTCTGTCATTTCGGAGTTAGTCTTCTACCTTTAGAGATTCACAGCGATCAAGGAAGGAATTTTGAGTCTCAAATATTCCAGGAAACTTGCCGAGTTATGGGTACTCAGAAAACACGAACAACTTCTTACCACCCACAACCTGATGGAATGGTAGAAAGATTTAATCAGACATTGGAGAGGTACCTAGCAAAAGTTGTGGAAAAAAGGCAACGAGACTGGGACAGGCACATACAACCGTTTTTGTTGTCATATCGAAGCGCTGTTCACGAAAGTACATCAGTGACGCCAGCTTTCGCAAACTTTGGGAGAGAATTACGGCTGCCTGCAGACCTGATCACCGGAATACCACCTGATGCCCCACGCAGTATAACCAATTATGCAAATGATTTGCGGAACAAAATGAATGACATTTATGAGCACGTCAGACAGTTGGGCCAGCAAACGTCTGAGAAGATGAAAACACGGTATGACCGCAAAATGAACAACAAAGGGTTTGACGAAGATTCACTAGTGTGGTTACACAATCCAGCTCGCAGCAAAGGGAAATCTCCTAAGCTTCAAGCTAAATGGGACGGACCGTACCGGATTGTGACAAGGATCAATGACGTAACCTACCGGATACAGAAAGGTGCCAGAGGTACTCCTAAGATCGTCCTGAGAAAAGATGTGGATCGACTGGCGCGTTATTATGGGACCAATAATGCTCGGGACGAGCATGTCTTAGGAGGGGCAGTGTTGCGCGCCACTATTAATGTCTTGTACATGGCAACACTAGTTACACTAGTGCCCTCTAGTGTCGAGTAGCAGAACTAGGAGAGTCGAAATCCTTCCAGAAATTTCGGGACCGATATGTACTCGAACATTCTAGTTGTCGCTACAGTAGAAGATTCTGGAAACTATCTGAGGCCCTATATAAGGCCGGTATAGACCACGACTGAGCAGCATTGAATTGGCGATACAAGAGAATACTTGGAAGCGAAATAACGGCGGACTGTGTTTTATTATTAGTGTGATTTTAGATTGTAATTAGTGTTGTATAATTAAAGTGTCAATTTTGGTAATTCAATCGGCAGTTTTTAATTGTTTCGAGCCCCAAGCTCGTAACAGTACGATAAACGAATCTTTTGGTTATATTCAAATTTTTCAGTATGTCAAAAATTTGAATTGGCGCGTAACCGCAACGATGCAACGCAATAACTGCAACACGGTCTTCTTTAAGCGTCCAGTCCATATTTAAAAATGAGTAAAATTCTAAAAAGTATACAGTTTTGTTATCATGAACAATTCGAAATTCGAATCCAATAAACTTTTTTGTGGCCAGCATTCTAAAAGAAAAGTTTTTACTGTGTGACAATACTTATAACCTGACTAGGTATATATATAAATCTGTAGAAAAGTCGTGTCTTTAATTCTAATATATTCTTAAAAAACAAGTCCAGGGTACTAAATAAAGGGTTCCGAATTATAATTAGTGCTTTATAGAATCTTTGTATGTCTGTATGTCTGTCTGTGTGTGTATTATTAGTAGTTAGTAATCCAGTCTAACTTAAAGGCTACTTTTTATCCGATTACGGAACTTTAAAAAAGAAGATTAAGTATTTTCCTTCCTTTAGATGTTAATTTTCTGTTGTATTTATGTTATAGGCGGGGTGACCAGTGTTTTTAAAATAAATACGTAAAGATAAAGACATAAAGACATTTATTCCAACACTTACATCTTCTAAACACATGACAAATTACAATTAAAAATAAAAGAAGTAACTTATAATCAGAGCGAGCGAGTATTTTTTTTAATCTGTATTCTATACCTCAAGCGAGATGTGCCGTAGACGGTAGTATGCAGAGGCCCTACTTCTTACTAAAATGTTATACATATATATACTACCTGGCCAGGCAGACGTCGTAATGCCCTCTCCGAATTTGTCCTATAAAAATCCTTAAATTACTAATAAAAATATTGAGGGTCACTTATCGGGATAAGAACTATCCTATCTTTCAAGTTGGACCAAACTGCACACAGTGTGCAAAATTTCATTGTAATTAGTTCAGTAGTTTAAGAGTTCATCGCGGACAAACACTGTGACACGTAATTTTTATATATAAAGATATATATATATATTAAAAATGACAGAAATATAGAGCAGTATTATAAATATGTCGGAGCGTCTATAAAATACCCAGTCGGATGGAGGTGGAATTGAAGGTATATCGAGAAACTCCCACTTGTTTGTGCAGTATAAAGTTCACTGTAGGTGCCGTGCGCGAGAGATTCCGCTTAAGTCATTCAACGAGTATGGTCATTCTACTAGAGCTAAGATAGTGTCCTGGTTCTATTCGTTGTTGTAATTCTTCTAGTGCAGGCAAGAAGGATTTGTGTTGCTGAGAGGCTGCCCTGTGTTACATTGAGATAAGTAGTGTTGCTGTTGGTTTACATATTTTGGTGTTATCATGTAATTACGTACCTCACGTTACACTGGTGTGTGATTGTGGCGGAGACGTGTTACGGTGTGGTCAAACTGTAATCTCACTATGCTAAATGTAGTATAGTGCGTTACGTTGTCTTATTACTGATTACGATGAAACTGCGTAAGCAAGAGAGCAAGTTGAACATTCACTCTCACACTTTTTTTTATTTTTAAAAATTAACGCTGTCGTGTTGTATTTCCGAGATCAAAATTGCGATCCTCTGTTGTAATCTCCGACAAATATATATAGAGAGTAATAATAAATACAAAGTAACAGGTATATATTAGATATACATTAAATAAATACTAAGTAATCGTTAAATTATCATTAAAGCTATTTTATGATTAGAAATACTACATAGGTAATTCTTAAATAAAGCATGTTCAAACATTTATATTTCCCTTCTGTTCGTTTAATAAAAATTTCTTTAAGTGTATTTTAAAATTCCCTATTGTCTTTAGATTACGTAGTGGTGGAGGTATATTATTCCAGCAGTGGGTGGCTGTATATTTGTAACCACCTCTGAAGGCCGCTGAGCTATATCAAGGGACACTTAATATGCGATGAGAAACACGCGTCAGATACTTATTGTGTTCACGACACCAGTCTAGTTTAGAGTACAGATACTTTGGATTTTTTGTTTTCAAAACACCAAATAGAGCTCAAGCAAAGTGGAGTTTGCGTCTTGCGGCCATCTTAAGGATGTTATTATCATTAAAATATGGGCTTACATGACCTTTTGGTGGCACATCAAAACAGAACCTTGTACAAGCGTTTTGGACTCGTTGAATAAGGTGTGCGGTGCGCGCCAACAGACATGGCCCATATACAGTATCAGCATAATTAAGTTTTGATAATACAAGTGCGTCATATAACCTCTTACGTAGTTCAATATTTAGATATTCACGTATCCTGTACGATTTGATAGTCTTTACAGAAACTTGGTTAACTCCTTCAATTGCTAATAATGAATTTATAGATTCCCGATACAGTGTTTTTCGTTGTGATCGAGATCGAATTGCCTGTGTGAAACGTGACGGTGGCGGGGTACTAATAGCCGTAAGAAAAGATTTGTGTACAAATCGTCTTCTTTTAAATACAACATACTCACGGAACTTAACTAATTCAACTTGCGTTGATTACATTTTGCTGGAGATTCCAGGCAAAAATAACATGAGACATATTGTTGCCGCCTTTTATATTGCTCCACAACGGCCGTTTGAAGTTTATAAGTCAAACTTGGATGCATTGCAAAACATCCTGTTATCGGGAAATATTGACAAATTCTATATATTAGGCGACTTTAATATTTCTTCTATTAATTGGGCATTGCCTAATGAATGCGAATTTACTTTGATTGGAAAATACATGCCTAATTTTATTAATTTAATTGGCGGCTTCCCAAATAATTATTTAAAAAATCACCAAGGAAACTTACTTGATTTATTTATTAGTAACAATAATAATAATAATTGATGTTTAGTACCCTCAATGGAATTAGTCCCCTTAGATCCTTTTCATCCGCCTTTATACACTTTTATTTATCTATCTTCCTTGTCTCAGGCTATGCCGCGCGGACCTGTTTTGAAATACGCTTTTTTTGAAGCCAAATATGATGAAATTAACAATAGTATTAAGAAAATTGACTGGGTTTCGTTATTTTATAATAAAACATCTGAATCGTCTGTAAACACATTTTATGAACAGATTTATTTAGTTATTAAAAACCATGTTCCACTTCGACCATTTAAACCCTCAGGCTTTCCCATCTGGTTTTGAAGACCATTAATACATATATACAAAAACAAAAATAGAGCTTGGATAAAATGGAAAAATAAAAGTCGTATTCCGACTACGAATCTTTTTCCATTTATCGTTTTCTACGTGGTAGAGCCATGCTGCAGCTATATTATGGTTATAGCACGAATGGATCGGCTCGAACGGGGAAGAACCACACTCTCACAGAAAACCAGCGTAAAATAGCAGTTTAACGCTTCTGTGTTTCGTATGGTGAGTGTAGAGAATCGGAGACCCTTTTTACTGGCAAAGAGGCATTCCATCTTAGTGCTCACGGGTGACAACGCAACTGCATCTTGAGTCTTTATTGAGGATAGATGTAGATGTCTATGAGTTACAGTAACCACTTACCAACAGGTGGACTGTGTGCTCGTTTGTCACCCGATCCTATAAAAAAAAAGATTCAAAGCTGAATGTGTCCTTTGTTTTCGCAAGTACATGAACACCATAGAAGATGGCCTACGAAAAGATGTTAAGAAATTTTGGCAATACATTCATAATCGTAAAGATAGTAATCCAGATAATATCAAATACAAACAGGAAGCAACTAACTTACCAGACGAAGCATGTAATCTGTTTTCGAGCTTCTTTGAATCCGTATTTGAACCATCTAACTTAGATTTAGTTCAGAGAAGTTTACATTTGAAAGTAATATTTTAACAGAACCAAACAATTCCAGTCTGAATGACTTTATCTCTACTATAAATTTCACTGTCGATATGGTAAAAAAAGAACTTGAAAATTTAGATGTTTGCAAGGGATCTGGACCGGATGGTATTCCTCCTTTCTTCCTTAAATATACAGCGGACACAATCTGTGTTCCTCTGATGGTTCTTTTCAATAAGTGCATTCAAGATGGTGTCTTTCCTGCTATTTGGAAAACAGCAAATATCACGCCTATTCATAAAGAAGGATCCAAGAACGACGTAGAGAATTATCGGCCAATCTCATTACTATCCGTATTTTCAATGTTGTTTGAAAGATTAGTACATAATGTTATTTATCCTGTCCCTCACAATATAATCATACCCGAACAACACGGATTTGTTAAAAAACGATCCACAGTAAGTAATCTCCTCGTTTATACTACATACTTATTTGAACATATGGATAAGGGAATACAGGTCGATTCTGTGTATACTGACTTCCATAAGGCCTTCGATAAAGTAGATCACTATATATTACTCAAGAAAATCGCTTTTAATGGGATTCGTGGTGATTTTCTCAGATGGTGAAACCATCTTGAATCTTACATTACAAAAAGAATTCATAGAGTTGTCGTTAACGGCCATTCATCTAACTTAGTTACTGTCACATCAGGTGTACCACAAGTCTCTATTCTCGGTCCCTTGCTGTTTATCTTATTTATCAATGACATCAACAATTGCTTTCATCACAGCCATTTCCTACTTTACGCTGACGACCTAAAGGTATACCTGACAATCTTAAGCGCTGATGACAACTTTAAGTTACAAAGTGATCTTTATCGCTTATCTTTGTACTGTACTAAAAATAAACTACAGCTTAATGTTGATAAATGT